TAGAAAGGGGAGAGAAAGCTGCGTCGAATGACACCCGAATTGCTTGTCGGTTGTTGTTCTGTGAGGTTTGGGTTGACTAAATAGGAATTCGATAGCAATGAAGAATTGATTACAGAAACTCTAAGAAGCAAGCTAAGGAAACCAAAAAATCACTCTGTGTCCTGTAAGGTTTGCTCTATTTATCTGTCACTTGTACTTCTTCGGATAAGTACAAAAATTTAGAAAAATAGCCGAACCTAACCATGGCAAAAAGCATGAGTCGTAGCTTTTGGTAATTTTTCGAGAGCTTATTGAATATGATGCAATGAGATTAACACCGTTAGAAAGACGATGAAATGCTGCATCGGATGCTCCTAAGATCTCTTGAAAATCTTGATTCCATGAAAAGTGGCATTCATTTTAAAAAAGCGACATTACTTTTGGAACGACCTAATACTTTCATGTGAAAGCACAACATGACATGAGCATAACTTGAAAACTAGGGCCGACGCAAAAGCATTCAATTTCGTCAAAAGCCAGACGAAGCGATCTGCTTTGCGAAATGCCTGAGCATTTTCTTGGCAATCACTCATGTTAGAATACTATGAAAACACTTGCTTTCAAATTCCAGACTCCTCTTACATGTTTGAATTATAAACTTCCTTGTATTTCAAAAAAGTTGCAGCAGCAACGCATTTGTTTTCGCTATACAAAATGTTCTTTGGACTAATCTCAAGATAATTTCGCGTGCACTAACCAGAAGTAGTTGACGTGCACCAAACGTACGGAAGAATTTTGAAACGTACCTACCAAAATTGTTTGTTTGTGATGTTGTACTATCGTTTCTCGCCACGATTAATCAAATTTAATGAGTCGTAAAACTTCCTTAGATATTATACTGCTGTTCGAAGGCGTTGTAATGATATTATGTCTACACCATTACAGACCTTTCCAACTCTAGATTTCGTCAATGAAACTGGTATTCGTTCACTCCATTTTCCCACATCTATAATGAGAAAGTCTTCTTTTTTTGGCTGAAAAGGGATCAGATAGCGATGCTTGTTTACTCAATGGGAGTTTTCAAAAATCCCCACAGAAAAAATTTTTGAAACATATTTTGATTGGTTAGCTTCGCACTACCTTTGAATAAATTCGTAAAATTTGATCACCACATATACTGCCGCGGAAAAAAATCTGCCACTATCCGTCTTTTTTATGAGTTAGAAGCGGGTGTGCAGCGCAATTATTCATACAAGGCCTTCATTGAAAAATGCTCTTAACCGTAATAAGCCACGAATTTGGATGATAGTTCATAAAATTACTCCCCCACCATTCTAAGAGTAAATTGATTTATGATTGAAATGTCCTATAAAACCTTCCACTTTTTCTGGCAATCTCTCTGTTTGGATTTCAAAGTTGCATGCCTCAGCAAATGTCGAATCAGTCATGGCATGGCAAACTCACAAGCAGGGCTCGGCACAGGTGGCTTTCAAGCAAGCTGGATATCGTTTTTGGGACAAAAAGCAAAGGGGGTTTCGTTTTTGTGGACGAAGACACGCAAAATTGGCGGCGTTTTTTTTTAGTCGACGTTTCGTTTTTTGGAGGATTTTTAGGGAATATGGTGGGGGGTCAAAGGGGACTTCGTAAAAATACCCAAAAGTCAAAGGGGACTTCGTTTTTTGCATTTCCATCTAGCCACCTCGTGCCGGTCACAAGCAGACTATTACATACTCTTGGTCCCCCTAAGAGCTCAGGAAAAATGCAATTAAATGCTTTGCAAGCAAACCTTAACAAATGTGAGTAAACAGCGAAGTAAGACGGCAGCTTGTTGCTCTCGGTCACTTCAGCATAAGGTTTAGTCACTCAGACTAGGTACTCTCAAATTATCCCTGTTTTTGTATATAATTACGCTCAGTCCAGTTTTTCGCAAATGTGAGGAGCAGGATCCAAAAATCTGAAAGTAAGCGGTCATAACAGTCACCCTCTTGAAAAGGTTATAAGTCCGTGATGATTTGTGTTTTTATTCGATCCACTTCAATTAGGTTGCCCCAAAAGTTTTGTCAGCTTTCCTGAGTGACTACAAAATCTCGTAAAATGAAGACTTGTATGCGTTTAACATTATTCGATGCAGCTTCTCCTTTTTTTCTGATGGGTACACTTTCAGTCATAATCTTCCGAATGCTTCTTGATAACTCCTGAAATTAATCACGCTTCATTTTTCATCTGTTAGTACTTCAGCCAAATTTTTGAAGTCTTATATCAGACAGAGTTTCAGAAAGATGCGCAATTTCAATTAGGAAAAAAAACGCAACTGTAGATATACCCTTAGGTTCTTCTGATCTGTTGCTTGGAGCATTGGGAAATAATTATTTTGAAGATCATATTTTTAGCATGCGCATGCGTGTCCAGTGACAAAAACGTAGAAGCTTTCGAGGTTCTTGCAAGGCGAAGCTTGTTTGTTATTGCACATTTGTGCAGAATATAAGTCTAGTTTGCCCTGGAGAGGCAGCTTTTTGAAGTTTTTGGTGTTTTCTATGCCTGCACGTGCTCAAAAAGCCATGATAAGTTATCACACACTTCAAAACTTGATCTATCTAGGATAAGCACAATGTAGCCAGAGTACCCTATATGATGGCTAGCAGCTTAGGGAGAACTTAGCATTGCTGAACTGCCATGACGATTTCCTGCAAAAGCAGCAGAGATCAGAGGGAAAATGCAGTTATGAAAAAGAGGAAAAGAATCTGAATCGACAACTGAATCGTATTCTCTGAGTTTTAATGATCAATCAAGAAACCGACAAAATGCTACAACCCATTATATTTTTCAAAATTTGCGATGTTCTTATCGTGAACTTTCGAAGATCATGATTGCTCATCAAAATGAAGCATGCTTATTTCTGCGTAATTTCTACATTATTTTCAGTGTTTTTTCAAAAAGATTTCCTAGTAATCATGATTGCTATTTCTTTTTTTTTTATCATTGACACCATTTTGACTGCACCGTCTGTTTCTTCACCAAGCTCTTGCCTTTGTTTTGCGTAGAAAATCAAGCGTAAGATGGCGTTCCCAACTTCCTCGTAAACTGTTATCAGCAGTTATCGCAGTCAAGCCTATTCCGCTGGCGAAGGTCGTTCGCTGTCATCAGCAAGTTTTAGAGCGTGATAGCTTCCCCTCTAAAAAAAGTAATCTTTTTTGACGAGTTCTTCCGTCGTTGCCTACAGGTTATGTGGCCTTGATGATCCTGTTTGAGACGTCTACTTCTATACTGCATTTACATATGGAATAATCCAACTCAGAATTTGTCAATGAAAAAACTAGAGTCTGCAGGACGTCCACTGTAGACAATTTTTCGCTTGGCAATGTCTTACACTTTCACTTCTTGAGTGTCATTACTTCCTAAACTTTTCGCTATATTTTTTTGACTCATGATTCTTCCTGACTAGCCTCTGCCAATGTTGCTTGATACAGCTTCCATCCATTTTAAGCAATTTTCTATTATCAATATGTACCAAATCGTTTTAACTATTGTTGGGAGGTACTTCTCACATCTCGAACTCGAATTTTGAAGTCTAAAAGTTAAATTCACCCAGTTACAAAGAGAATTCACCGAGTCGCTGCGATGCGTTCGGTCGAGCCTATAAAAATTTTTCAAACATCACCAGATCATAACAGTGTTATAGCAAATACTTTTCATCATCATTCTTTACCTCGATGACGCTATCTAGACAGTTGCTTGTCTCAAATTCCACGTGATGTACAATCTTGTGGCCAAAAGTGAAGCAATAAGGTTTTGGGACAGTTTAGGAACTCATGTGATAAAAGTTCAGTGCGAAGTCGTAACAGTGCGCGTTGAGCACCTATCACCATAGTAAAGGATTCATTAAATTGGCTTTGTACCTTTTTAGGATGTTTACTGAGCTGAGATACACACTATTGCTGTAAAGAATGTTTCAGGAGCGGACTGTATATATAGGGTGCGTCAAAAGTCTATGAGCCTAGATCTTTTTCACATTACATCCGAAGGGAAGTACCTCGGAAAAGAAATTGGTGCACAAATAATTCGAAACGTTACAAATGCAGCTCAGCTCTCAATTTTTGGAATCCCCTCTTTTTTCTTCAATGCAACCCTTCAAAAACTTGGCGAGTTCGCCTGTCTTGGCATGCAGCAAATCGTAATAAAGTCCGTCCCATGCCCTCATAGCAAACCCTTCTTCCACTAGGCAAATGTGCAGCATGATACAGCAAGCTTTTGGCTACACATGGCGCGAACAAATTTTGTGCAGTGTTCTAGAAATTAAAATATTGGATTCAAGTGAAGGCATATGTAAGTCGCATCTGAAAATTTGGGCACATTGAGTAAAGGAAAGCGGCAAATCATCGTCTAAAAAGTATCGAAATTGTTGCGTCGGCCATATTCAAGTAGATGTCGAGAAGGCATATGAAAAATATAGCCTTGGACTTTGTGTCTGCTTTCTTCTATAGTTTTCAAACTAGTCCCAATGACAGATGGCTACTGGCACGCAGGTACCGGCGAATTTTTATCTTCTGTTTCAAAAGAACAGATTCTGGCAAACGCAATTGCTGCGATGTGATAGCGCAAAGCCCTCCGCACCTCTGTATTCATTAAAGTCTTGTAAAATTCCGTCTTTATCTAGGTAAAGTGATTTTGTAGAGGATAATCGCAGCACCCAGTTGCACAAAATTAAAATCAAAATCTGTTTTAGTTTGGTGTTACAATACTCCAAAATCGACCCCCACATTTTTGACGCTTCCTATGTTGCGATTTCATTTTAAGAATATCATGTCAACCAGAAAGATCTAGGTACATAGTATCATAAAGCTACAAATCTCCTAACACCGTACCTCTGCCTCTTCTCCTCTCCACACCCCTCCCCCCCCCCGGGGATTAATGTTCAGTATACAGACTACCAGTTTTTCATACCCCATGTCAAATTTCCCCCTTATCACTGCTCTCACTAGCCTCTCAATGAATTTGATAAGAAGTATTGTTAAAACTCCCTCCTTTCTGCTTCCCTGTCTGTAACCTCAACTATTCACCTTTACAAACATGACCTTTAACACATTAATTCGGAGTTTTGCTGCATATTCAACAACGATACGTCGTCTTGCACGGGTAATCGTCATTCTGACGTTTATTCCTGAAAAAGAAACCATGGATTTGGCACAGAAAGTGTTTGTTTCAGACTATGAAGATTGCGATAATAGGTCAGTCCGCTTTTGGCGTGGATGTCTACAAAGCGCTAAGAGATAATGGCCACGACATCGTCGCCGTTTTCACGATCCCCGACAAAAATGGGCGAGAGGATTTACTTGGTTAATACAGAACCGCCTAAAACTCAATTTCGTCTATGAATATTCTTTTTCAGCTCTGGAAGCAAGCAAGGATGGTGTTCCCGTTCATAAACCACCAAAATGGCGGAAGAAGGTTGCAAATGGGAAATTTGAGGTTGGTTGACCAGTGGAAGATCCTATCTTTCACGATCTCAAACAGTTGTGGTTCCACGAACAGGAAAATAGACGCAGAAAGAAAATTTACTTCTTCACAAATTGACATATAAAATTGTGCCGTTCAAACTCTGCTCTCAAAATTATCTATAAACGAATTGAAATAACGTTTGATCTAACCTTTTTTGGCATCTGAAGAAATTTCCTGTTTGATTTGCCTCATTCTTACATTGTAGATCAGGGCTCAGCACAGCTGGCACCGGGTCAAGCTGTATATCGTTTTTAGCGCGGAAAGCAAGGGGGATATCGTTTCTACAGGAGCCGAGGCGGAGAACTGCCGCAAAAATACCTCCGGCATGCCATCGGCATGCCATTGGCAAGCTGTCCGTCAACAAACAAAGGCGTTGTTTTCAGCCAAAACGCAATAGTATGACACCAAATTTGGTGTGTGCATGCGCGTTGGTGGACCGGAACTACGGGGCAAAAATTTATGAAAACTTATGTGAATGAAAGCTGTGCCGAACTTTTTTCTGAATTAGCTGGCACCGTGCCAGCTGAGCTGGCACCGACACTTTGCTCACATAAGTTTTCATACTTTTTTACATAAAATGTATCTACACTGTAAAAGATTACATACGGAGAAAAAACAGTTTCATAATGTTCTCTTTTCAGCGTTTTATAGCAATTTGAAAACCACTCGGTCCGCTCCGCCTTCGAAAAATCGGCTTTTTCTGCTTTTCAAGATGTGATTCAACCACTTAAGCAACTCAGAAAGTTGTGAAAAGTTCTTTCATGAAATCAGAAATGCATGAAAACACTACTACATTTTTTACATAATATAAAAATGATGACGGGTTTTCAAAACAGGTCAAAAGGGACTTCGTACGAAATTTTCAATATCAAACGGGACTTCGTTTTGAAATTTCCCTGGTGCCAGCTCGTGCCGAGCCCTGTTGTAGATCCTCAGATGTGAAATGATAAAAATTTCAGGTCTTGCCGGACATGCTAAAACTCTACCTCTCTTACAAAGCTGAACTGAATGTGCTGCCATTTTGCACCCAGTTCATCCCAATCGAAGTCATTGAGGCTCCAAAGTTTAAAAGTATTATCTATCATCCGTCTATTCTCCCGAAACACAGGTTTGTGCGGCTGTTTTACTAGGCTTTACTAGGCTTTTCGTGCAGGATGTGCTGGTTACTATCTTATCAGCACCATTAACAACGTGCAAGAGAATTTTCCTCTTATAGTTAATTCCGGCCAGATGCTAAACGCAGTGCATTTTTTCCAGAGGTGCATCTGCAATCAATTGGACTCTGATAGATGGCGATAAGGAAGCTGGTCTTACCATTTTTTGGGCCGATGATGGCTTGGACACCGGACCAATTTTACTCCAAAAGAAATGCAAAGTCGAGCAAAACGATACGCTGAACTCATTGTACAAGAGGTTCCTGTATCCAGCTGGAGTTGATGCAATGGTAAGCAGGCATAAAGTGTAATAATTCAAAAAAGGTCCAGCCTAATCGGTTGAAATCCTAAGTCGGGAGCAATCAAGATTTCAGGTTTCTCAAAGGCAGCGTCCAGGAAAATCTGGGCCTATGGGGATCCCACTCGAAAGGTAATCTTGGAGCCCTAACTAAAACACTGCCCAATTGGCAGCTCAAATGGTGAACTCACAGTTGAGATGTTCGCCTTCAAACTGGACCCCGAGATCGAATTCGCATGGATTCATGGCGCGACGTATCAGTTTCGCGCGAGGACCACGCGTGTCGCTCCATGAATCCATGCGAATACGATCCCGGGGTCCAGTTTGGAGGCGAACATCTGAACTGTAAGTTCACCATTTGAGCTGCCGCTTGGGCAGGGTCTTAGTTAGGGCCTCAAAATTACTTTGCAAGAGCCCCGTGTGTACAGATTTGCACGGACGGTGCCTTTAATGAGAGGAAACTTTCCAAATTCGCACCCACAACTTGGATAGTAAGGTTATCCACATAAAAGCTGTGTTCAACGAATTGCGCAAAAATTTCAAATCAAATCGGTTTATAACGAACAACAATGAACTTCTATTCTGATCAACATGCAAATAAGTTCAGGCAGAAGCAGTAGAGCTGATTGCAGCTGGCAAAGCTCCACGCATTGTTCAACCCACTGAAGGAGCTACGTACGAACCATACATCACCGCCAAGCCAGAACTGGCTGAGATCGACTGGAAGAAAACACAACAGCAGCTCCACAACTTTATTCGTGGAAATGACAAGGTGGGTTACGTGGAAGTTTCAACATGGTCCTAGCAAGCAGTTCAAGATCGGATGTTTTTTCGATATCTTCCATACCAAAATTTCTGGGTTTATTTCAGTCACATGATTTTTTAGTCCTCCATCGGCCATATTCTGATAAATTCTTCATTTTTTGTACCCAAAAATCCCTTGTGTGTATGAGCTCTATAATGCTGACTTAGGTACCCGGAGCTTGGGCTACTCTCAACGGAGAGAAGGTAACGTTGTACGGTAGCACCCTCTACCGAGCACCAGTCCCACCTCCTTCAGCTCGAGAACTTCAAGTGACCGAAGTCCCCGGAGGAAAAGTCTATGTTCACGACAAGGGGCTCCTTGTGCCAGGCAGTGATGGAAAATGGGTATGACACATCTAACATCCAAAAATGCTTTATTGCTAATACATGCACTTTAGGTCAATGTGGACACTGTAAAAGTTGGCTCAAAGACAATGCCAGCGAAAAAGTATGGCGTGGTTGAGGAAAATGGAGTAAAGGTGGAATTTACACCGGAAGAGCAGAAAGTGGTGGATGAAGTCAAGGTAAGCTACCTGTTGTGAAACCCGCGCCATATAAGCTCGTACGCTGGACACACTTTCAGAAAATCTGGGAAGCCATTTTAAAAACGACTGTCGAAGCAGATACAGATTTCTTCGAGGCTGGTGGTACATCAGCTGACGTCACCCGACTTGTAGAAGAGATCAAATTCCATTCAAAAGTTGAACTCGAAAATACAGATGTAAGGACAAATGCTTCAGTTTATTGTATCAGCTGATTTATTTGGTTTAGATATACTTGGGTTCAACATTCGGTGAAAACGCTGAGATAGTCGTGAAGAAGATGAGAGGTGGAGACAAGATCACCGTGGAATACGATCCTGTAAGTTGGCTTGATCTTATTTGAAGGTGCTTCCAGAATTGAAAAATTGATAATTTTGATGTCTTCAGCACTTCCCTAAAAATTGAAATTTTATTTTTACTCCATTTTTATAATATAATGGGATACTTCCTTTGTCAAAAAATCTCTTATTCTAGATTATTGTAAATGCTAATGGAATGGAGCTTAAATTCCCTCATGAGCTCTTCATCGATGGCAAATTTCAACCTTCCTCAAGTGGAAGGTATATTTCGAACTTTTTAAGAATCTTGTTTCATCATATAGTAGCACCATCTGCTTTAGGACATATGACACCATCAATCCTACGGACGAATCAGTCATTTGCAAAGTTCCCAAAGCTGATGCGAATGATGTGAACAGAGCAGTTGCTGCGGCAAAAGCGGTCAGTAAAATATTTTTTTAAAATAATCTCAAAAATTATTACAAAACAGTTGAACAGGTTGTTTATCTCTATATCATTCATATTGTAGACAACTCTATCACCTACAATAAGCCAAAAATTTTCATACATTAGGTTCATCAATCCTAGAGTTCGTTCGTCTTTTTCAAAAAAATCATGACTTATTTACATTTCACTGAAACTTTTATATCTGAAAGCTGAAGTCATGCTCTTCATAAATGTATTTCTATGAACTAGCATGCAAATGCGAGAGTTACGAACAAATGAAGAATTACTCGAAATGGTATTTTATGCACAAACACACTACTTGTATTTAGTTTGAAAGAACTTTTGCGTGGTACCTTTGTCTGGGTTTAGTATGAGGAAATGAGAGGTTTATGCAAGTGAAGCACGGAAAATACAGAAAAAATGTACTGGGAGCTCGCAGGAAGAGACCTGATGTTTTGCTACAAAATGGCTCCTTGTTATGTGAAAGCATAGGTTCAAAATTTGTTTTTTTACGTTTTGAAAATGCAAATCTTGAGTGTGTATCTTCCTTTGTTTTTGGCTCTGGCATTCTCTTGTACAGGTTTACAACAGATACAGCTGTAAAGAGCATGCTGTGCTTTGAACAAAAAAAAATTAAAGATTTATAAGGTACAATTTTTTCGAAAAGATGCGAACAAACTTTCAAAAGAATCTGATATATTTGACCATCACGTTTGTATCATTTGGTTTCTTTACTACTATAATCAGATGGAAATATAATTCAAGGCGTTCGAAGATGGTGAATGGCGGAAGATGTCAGCTCGTGATCGAGGAAAGCTATTATTCAGACTAGCAGACCTCATGGAAGAACATAAGGTAAGGTCTCATTTTTCTAGTCAAAGATGGGGCTACAAAAGAACTTTTCAGGAAGAGTTGGCGACGCTCGAATCCTTGGATTCAGGAGCCGTCTACACCTTAGCGCTCAAAACACATGTAGGAATGTCCATTGATGTGTGGAGATACATGGCTGGATGGTGCGACAAAATTCAGGTACAATCAAATTTCAACATCTTCACTAACAAGTCGCTGTCTCGATTTGTGACGTTTTGAACTGCTTTCCTATAGAGACTTATTCTTCCTTGCACTAATGCTTCAACGATTTTAAACCAAGAAATGGTCGGTGCGAATTCGATAAAAACCATGTTGTATATTTTTCAAATGTTAATTACGATTATGACATTTACACTGCTTATTAGAAAAGGATCACGGCAGTCACAAGATAGAATACCCGCAAACAATAAACTGATAATTTGTTTTGAAGCATCTCAAAACTAAGATATTTCGGTTAGCGACATGCACAGACCCCTACACGTAAAATTTTTGCTTATTGGGGTAAAAATGTAACGATTCCAAATTTGTACCTAAAAACAGTGGGCTAGTTGTCCATTACACCAAGGTACTCCCGACGCACTTACATGCATAAAAAGGATCATTTTTCGAAATTTGACTTTCTTCGGTAATTTCTCCTCTCTACGATATAAGTAAAAGTCATCTACATAAATGCGACCCTCCCTTAGAGTTTACTGTCATGCATCTGTTACGTGCTGATTGTTTCATCTAATTCCCACTGAATATATATCTTAACGATCTGTTATTATATCAGATTGATTTGCTCTGATACTGTATTAAAGAGTTGTAGCAAAAACTACAGAAAAGGAGAGAAGAAGATGAAGATTTATTGCGCGAATTTTGCGCGAATAATTAATGCTACTCTGAGTCAACCCACTTCTTTCCAAACAATTCTTCTTCTTCTATCTGTGTTTTCCAAAGTTTTCAATTTGCAGTAGAGTTCCTTACTTAACAGTCCTTTCCAGGGCAGCACGATCCCGATTTCCAACGCTCGGCCGAATTACAATCTCACACTCACCAAGCGAGAGCCTATCGGAGTTGTGGGTCTGATCACGCCATGGAACTACCCTCTCATGATGCTTTCGTGGAAAATGTCCGCTTGCTTGGCAGCTGGAAACACAGTGGTGCACAAACCAGCAGGAGTAAGTCGATTAGGATCTTACATTTCAAGAATAAGGTAATTTAAGCGAGAAAAAGAAATGGAAAAAGAAACATTGAAGGTGGAACGATCTGGTGGAATTAAAAATGACTCAACGTCCTTCATAATGAAAACAGAGAATTATGAATTCATAGATAGTCTCTAAAAAAATTGCCTGATCAATCGAATCACCAATCATTGATCTTTTCAACTGAAAGTTGGCAGAAAACAACTAATGACAATTTTTATTTGAAAACTTATTTCAGGTCACACCATTGACAGCCCTGAAATTTGCCGAATTAGCAGCACTGGCCGGAATCCCTAATGGAGTAATCAACATCGTTACAGGATCAGGAGGTTATTACTCTTAACTTTGAGAAGATAAACTTTTTAATGACAAGATTACAGCGGAGATTGGCAAAGTACTAGCTGAGCATCCAGATGTTAGAAAAGTCGGCTTCACCGGTTCGACGGAAGTTGGTGCAGAAGTAATGACTAGGTAAGGTACCCAAATTTTTCCTCTTTTCTAACCTTTTTGAAACAAACATTTTTTTAGCTGTGCTCAGTCAAACATCAAGAAGGTGTCGTTAGAACTGGGAGGCAAATCTCCACTGATAATCTTCCCAGACTGCGATTTAGAAAGAGCAGTCAAACAAACTTGTGGCGCTGTTAGTGATTACTTCTTGCAATTCTGCTATCAAAGATTTTAGAAAAATTTTCTAGGTTTTCTTCAACAAGGGAGAGAACTGCATTGCTGCTGGTCGAATTTTCGTTGCTGATAGCATTTATGATAGTTTCTTGAAGAAGCTGGTCGATGAGACCAAGAAGGTGAGTTGATGATAGTATGACTGTTGAATTCGTCTAACATCACCAATTTCTTATTTAAGTACGTCATTGGAGACCCTCTTGACCGATCGACTGCCCACGGACCACAAAACCACAAAGCTCATTTGAATAAATTAGTCGAGTTTGTACAAAAGTCAAAAGAAGGCGGAGCCAAGGTGAGGATAAAAAATTAATTTCCGAAAAGATGACTCTTAAATTAACTTATTGCTCACGGTTTTCTAATCCAATTTTTGCAAGATATCCAGTCATCTTCGAAAATGCTGAGAGCCATATGAGTAGTATTTTGAAGGTTATTTTGAAAAATTAGAAAAAGATTTTTCACCCTCATTAGTATTTCACATTATTAAATCACCCAACACAGTCATTCCGTAGAATCTCTTCCAGTCTACGTGATATACAGGGTGTCCCAAAAAAATGTTAACACTGTTTGATCGTTAATAACTCCCTTGACTTCGTATCTTTAGGCGAGCTTTAGGCACCATTCTGTAGAGCGAGGTTAAACTTAGATTCATAGTTTGAAGCAAATCACCGTTTGCTCTTCTTTACTGTAGGATTACGGTAAGGAATTCCAGCATATGGAACCGTCGTGAAGTATGCCCTCTGACAAAATTTTTTTCAAAAAATCTGAAAAATCGTATACTAGGGTTTTCGCGCACGCTCTGATTTTACTACACAACTTTTTACAAGTGTTTTCAGCATTTTTGACGGTATAATCACATTTTTGACACATGCTGAGAAGTCATTATTACACTTTACCTAGGATAACTTTGAAAAGAAGTATCATAGTGAAGTGAAAATTTCATATCCGAAATCAGCGGCTTTCATCATCATAGTACAAGAGATTTTGGCTTGTTTGGCTCTGTTTCGAAGCAGAAAATGGCCTTCAATGGCTTAAAATCCTTGTCAAATTTTCTACCGTAATTCTACAGTAAAGAGGAGAGTTAGATTATTCGCTCCATAATGTAAATCTAAGTTTATGCTCGCTTTACAAAATGATACCTAAAGCTCGGCGAAAGACTTGAAAGCAACGGAGTTATTAACGATCAAACAGTGTTAACATTTTTTGGGACACCCTGTATTTCATTCAGAATCCTTCCAGGTGGTTTACGGAGGAGAACGTCTTCCGCGACCTGGCCTTTTCTTCCCTCCTACAATCCTGTCTGAAGTAGAGGATGATAATTTTGCTGCAATCGAAGAATCGTTCGGGCCAATTATGTGTGTTAGCCGATTTGATGATGAGTGAGTGTTGGAGTTTTTTAAAATGGATGAACAGTTGAATAGGATTACGAAAATGATATGTTATTGAACGGTTATCGAAGCGAGGTGCTGCAACTATGCTAAAGTTTCTAAAAATTCGCAGTCTCTTCCAGTTTCTATACCCTTATATGATTCGGAAATCTGACGAATGCAACGCTTCTTGGGTAAGAAGACCGTTTAGATATACGGAGATAGGTGAAAAACTAATTTTGAACATAAACCCTGGTTACGTCCTTCAAACATTTCCAAATCTTTTCAAGAAATTTTGATGCAAGCTCTTTATTAGTCTTTCATTTTACACTTGAATTTCTCTGGCAACTAAATGGGAGAGAAGATTTGGTTTTCTAGTAAATGCACCTTCGAAGTGGTCTAATTATAGAGCAAATGCAGGATATATGTGTTTGTCGTAATAATATTTAATTGTGTGTACAAGTATTGAAATTTCGATGTTTTCAGTGATGTTGATGAAGTAGTCAGAAGAGCGAATTTGACCGAATATGGATTAGCCGCTGGAGTGTTCTCAAAGGTGGGTTCCCACCCTCTCAGCATATACATATTTCTTTTCTCCTGCGAAGAAATTCAATTTCAGGATATTTCGAAAGTTCTTCGTGTGGCTGATCGACTCCAAGCCGGCACTGTGTTCATAAATACCTACCAAAAAACAGACGTTGCCGCACCCTTTGGTGGTTTCAAACAGTCTGGATTCGGAAAAGATCTTGGTACAATCGATTCTTCCCATTCTCTGCTTTCTCATGTGCTTTTTTTTTTCAGGGCAAGAAGCGCTGAACGAGTACCTGCAAACGAAAACTGTTACTATAGAATATTAAATTGTACCGGATGTCCAGATTATATTGGTAATAAGATGATGAATTATGCTGTCAGTTTGTAGATTAACTAACTGTGATAACACTTCAAAGAGTTGTTTAAAGTTACTGAATAAATTATTTCTATTTTTCCTAGATTTATATAACAGTGTCACAGCGAGTTGTATCGAAAAAGACATTCATATTGTATTATAATGATTACAGAAATGACCAGAAAATACTCTGAAGTTTGAAAAAGGGTCCCTCGGACTGAGAAGGGAATCATGTTTAGTCGAAGTGGCCTTTCTAGATGCTGTGTACCATATTAAAAAGCATTAAATGCTGATTCTAAATCTGTCCTTGTTTACAAAATGAGTTGCTAAAATCTTCCTAGACTTCAGATAAAGCAATGCGATGTATTTTTATCTAAGAGTATTTATTGAATAAGTTATTCTGATAATCATGCCATACTGAAGCGCTGGCAAAATTATTACGACAATCTTATTCTATTTGCACATGTAGTTTTTGCTCTAATAAAAGCTCATAACTCCTCGCCCATAAATCTTCCGCAGATAAGAAAGCCAGATTTAAAATCACCGTTTTACGTTCTCCAATGTGATATACATCACATCCGAATGACCACTTCGACTTAAATGGTTCCCTTGTGAGAGAAGCGGCAGCCCCAATTGTATTTTCCTGTTTTGTTCTCTGCTTTATAATTGTCAACTATTAAGATGATGCAAAACTAACGCAAACTACCAATTAGTTGGTGCAGAACTGATGCATGTTCTTTATGCTAACGGTGTGACTAAATAGAAAAACTTGAGAAAATGTATTATCCTTTAGAGCAAAAAAAGCTCTACAGGCTGCTCTTGGAATATTCGCACAAAGATTGATCCATGTGAAAGGCGAAGCGGAAATCCAGGAATATCGAGTACCCAGAAATCGATTGCATTCGAATAAAACCTCCAGCATGTCCAAGAAGTATGTTTTCCGCATTAGATATTCATATGCAAGCTTGCTGTATTATTTTCCATAGCTAGAAACCGAGAATGTGAAAGATGGCAAACCACCCTTGACAAAGCTATGCTGGGTTGTTTCCACATGAATATTTCTACGCTACAGAATTTGTGAAGATGTACGAAAATTTACAGACTTACACAAGCAATAGTTTTCGAGAAATATGAGGATAAGTTTAACACGTTTCGGACCGCGAAATCGCGCGCGGTGAAAAAGAGTATACTTTCAGCCGTTAACCAACAAAGGAAACTTATTTCATAGAATGTGTGCTACATCTGTGATCAGCATGTCAAATAAGCTCCATACCCAAAGTTCTGAATGAATTCGAAGTGTTTGAATTTTGTGGCTTGAGAAGGACTTCTGTGCTTTCTTAGAGGATAGGAACAAGAACTCAGTTTTCAATAGTATCCAAAAGTATCTATGTTGTACACGGTACACATCACCATTGAAACTACGGTTTTTCTCCTTGAAATCGAAGCAGATAAACGTTGCGACGTCGCATGCGTCGTTCGCGTTGCCGCACTTCTTTGCAACTTATGTTCGATTTGCCCTCATATCTCCTGAACACATATCGATGGCACAGCTCTACAGACCCTTTTGAGAAAAAGGAGCTCAGGCCTTTGACTTGATAACCTTGTACAAGAAGAAAACCTCTTGTAAACGTTGAAAAGATCCTTCAAAGCCGCGTGCTGCACCATGTGCAGCACCAATCCGAAACGTGTTAAAAACCGAAGAGATGATATTTTTGTTTGATGCAATTTGGTTTCTGTTATTCTGGCCATTGGAAAATTCAGCATTTGTACATGTGAATGTTAAGTGCAGTGTATAAGCGTGAGCAAATTGAGCTCCGTAGGACTCTTTTGGAGACTAATCCATTAATTTTATGTTGATTGAATTTCTTTGAATAGCTTCGATCCATGGATTGCTCTTTTTGCAGATGTTTCTACTTTACCTTCTAGAGCTTGTTGTGCCCTATCGAATAACATTTTCATTTTTTACCTACTCTGCCTTTTGCAGCAAGCTAGTAAAATAATCCCTGCCACTCACAAATAACCTGCGAGTCGGAAGGAAAGTGTTGGCGCCTGTAGTGAACATTGGACTCGAGATGCAAAAACGATCATGGCACGGTAAAATGAGGTCAAGTCACAGGACAGGTTCGTATTCGGATCGCAAAGTTTCAAGATCCCTTGATGCCCAACCATTCCATATGCGTGCAGTTCTTCTTCTTTCGGTCACTCCTTGACCAAACAAGCGTAGCAGCAGGTTCCGTCACTGATAACAAGTCCTGCTGCTTCTTTATCGCTCCCCCATTAAAGTCTTTTTCTAGATTGCGACACGATCAATGGATAACTCCCAGCATTCTAGAAGTGGTGTGAAAATATAACTTTTCAGAAAGATGCGAGAGGTGTTGAATATTTTGTATTGCCATGGATTGGGATCATCAATCAACAATCGAGTGGGAACGGGTCTTGTGGAGTATTTTAAGAATACACCTCATTATTTTAAAAGGTGAGAAAAACAGTAACAAAATTTTTGAAAAAAAAATTCTTTTCGCCATTCTTCTCTATGAAAAATTCCTTTTTGACATAGAATGTGTTGATAATAATGTTCCTACATTCATCGTTCTTTTTATAAAACCTGAATATTTTCTTGAAAAAAACACTTTCTTGAGAGGAAAGAAGAGAACCTAAAATTTACCGTAGATGGTAGCGTGGAACTCTTAGCTGTAAAAAAAAAGGAAAAACGAAATAACACACTTATCTTCGCATTAAACGAAGGATTGCTCAGATTGCTCTACCGGAATCCTGGTTCCCGCAATGTGCTATGGAATATTTCCGAATGGAGGGAAGACATTGAGAAGCGTGTAGGTATGGTGAAATCATTTTTCGAAAATAATCTGTGTGTAAAAATTCTACTCTTACATGACTGAAAATAACATGATCAACTGCAAGGAAATCAAAAATGAGACTAGAGCATAGAAGAATCTTTAGAGCTCTTTTAACCCCTGAAAATCCGCATTAATTTCAGATGGTAAAGAATGGGTGGTGATTGCAAGCAGCGCTGGTTGCCATGCTGCCCTGAATGCAGCAAAGAATCGTCCTGGCAACATAAAAGTAAGCAAATGTCTATATTTGCTGAAAAGTAAACTTTTTGCCATTCCAGGGACTTTTTCTGTTTTGTCCGGGTGTCTCGCTTACGTTCAATTATGTGAACACAATCGCTCCCGGCGCTAGTGCTGCCCTTCAGAATGGTCAGAGTCTTATCCATCCAGCATCACGTGGAGGACATGAAGCTCTTATTAACAGAGAATGCCTGCAGCACTACCTTGATGTGAGTCATTTTGCTTTTTCAGAAACTTCCTGTTTTACTTATAGAGTAGAAAAAAAGAAAGCCAAAGCTTCATATTAAAGTTGTAGCAGAATTCTAAGTGACTAAGAGTTTGAGCCGTCATTGAAGCATGAGCTTCTTATACATATCAATCGTGTACTTTTTTTAAACAACCCTCTTCCATTTGGCCACTCCCCCCTCCCCTCTCCCCCCCCCAAAAAAAAGCTTCACCAACTTAAGCACTAAAGCAAACAGTATGTATTCATTTAGACATGTGTAACGAAGACTGAAGGTCTGATCAACATTCATTGCCCTGTCAGTATAGTCCACGGCACAAAAGATGAGGTAAGTTAACATCACCTTGGAATTATAAGTAAGCGAGTTGTTCAGACGCATTCGTCAAGCCATATAACATATCAGCTTCAACACAAACCTGGCTTTCAAGCACCTGATAGTCAATATTTCACTAACTTTCAATTCAACAATTCTTGATCCAAGTTCCTCTTTTTACACCTCCTGCGCTTATCAGCTCAATTTTCATATGGTTATGATAGACTTTTAGACTCCTCGAATGTTGTAGTTTATCTTCATAGTTTTCTGACAAGACAACATATATTCTAAGCCTTACAAAACACTAAACTGTTTGATATAGATTTGAGAGCAGATGACTACAACTGAGTGCTCAAAATCGAAGATTTTTGGGACGAAAAATGTCTGAGGTCAGCTCACGCGAATCACAAGATTAACTGAGAGAGATTGGTATTGGCGAGCTATTCTATGCACCGAGACTTTCGATAATTGTGCTAATAGTATCACAACAGTTTGACTATAAATACTAAGCCTATCAAATCCATCACGAACTTCAAATTGTCCCAGAATTCAATGGAAAAAATAAGAAGATTACTACTTTTCGAATACAACCGTGTACTTACCCAAGAGCCAAGCTTTTCTCCATAGAATACCCGAACATTATGGAAGGGAACAAGGAGATTATTTTGAGGACGACTGTTTAACTGTATAACTCAAGCTTGCTCTGTCCGCTCGCCACCTGTCTTTCCGACAATTTTTTGAACGTAGTCGGAACCTAAACGAAGACGGAAATGCCAAAAGTTGATTCCGAAAGTGAATGGTTACTGTCGAATTTGCTGATCAGAACAAAAGTGCAAAAACAATGAGAAATCGTTATGCAGAAAGCGACACTCCTTTATTCAGTGCCTAGGAAATCTACACTTACTAACGATAAGAACTTGGTGAAAATTGAAAAATAATTTGCTAATATGTTTTTCCGATTATAGATGGTGCCCTTCGAAAACTCGGTATCATTATCCAAACGCTTACGCTCCACAAATGTTGAGCTAATGCTCATACCGGATGGAACTCATTATTTATCAGTAAGCAACTTTAATCGAGTTAGCGGTTCATGCTAATATTGTATTCAGGTGGATGAAAGAACAGCAAAGAAGTTGGACGAGTTTCTTGCTACTGTAAGCCGTCTTGAGAACAGTCCAAGCAGGGTCATTCAAAGTAAGCTGTAATCTCATAAATGAAAGCGTTCACAGATTTTTTCACTCTGATTCACGCGAGGTGAGAATCTTTCAATTCAGTGAACAATACATCTTATATAATAAATTCACTATAGGACAGTTAACTAGCTAACGAAAGTTTCAATTGAATGCCAAGCTTTATCCTACATGCAACCTTAATGTAGCATCACTACTTGGAATGATTCTACTTCGTCTGACTGTATATAATGTTCTACTAATAAATATTAAATGCGTTACCATCCCGAGCACCATTGTGATGCAATATTTCACTTGAGAGTCATTCTAGGAGGTCAGAGAAAGGCGGGCGGAACGTGAAAAGCCCGGCCTCTTCTCCTGTCCTCCCCTAAGAAAATCTTTGTGGTACATGAGAAACTATGCCATCAACTCATTTTGTATATGAAAATTCAAACAAATTCCTACGATACATGATAACTAACTTTGCAAACAAAAAAAAATCACAATGTGTGATTGACTGCTCCCCCTCTCTCAAAACGCCAAAGTTTTCAGCCTCTAAAAACCTGAAAAGCTGTTCAAGATTTTTTTGGAGACTTGCCAATGCCACAAGGACGTACGCCATTAGTATCAGGGTATGACAATACTAGGTTAGCTGATAAATAATTTTAGTCGCTTTGCGCTCCTACAAATACTGCAACCAAATTTTTGTCCATTGTTGTATCTCCTCTATATCTATCAAAAGAGCACTTCACTGAGAATTGGAATATATATACTGGTTAAGAGATTGACTCGCTGAAAAAAAACTCAAAGAAGTGAGAAATCCCAAATTTCTCATTGTGTGCAAATGTGAGAAAATTTCGCTTTTTCACTCAAAGAATTTCAAAATGGCAGGTCGCAATTTCTACCGTTATTCGCCAAATAGAGAAAACTTGAATGTATCCAAATACCACGTTACCCATCTGCCCATCGGAGCATGGAAGCGAATTTAAAGAAATTCTTAGAATTCAAAGGACTGAGCTTTGGAAATTCAGCCATATCGAAATACAATTGTACTTTACTGACAATGGGGAATCCGATTAGTTGACATGTGATGGCAGAAGTTTTATACTACTTACTTCTAAAATTGCATGGATGAAAGAACAACAGAAAAATTATTTCTGTGAACTCGAAAAAACGAATTTATTTTTTAAGAAAACCTAGTAAAAACCAATACTTCTACACCTCTCCATTAAACTACAGATGACAACAGCACCATCAGAAAACTGATGAATAATTCGAAACTCCTCTAACAGCGACTATGGATCTGCGTTGTCGCTATGACTTTCACACGATGCGTAGCATTCCATTCATAAAATACAATATCTGTACACAGCAGCGGTCCCAGGTCATTACAGTCCGGAATGGGGGGGGGAACGCCACGCACCTTCATTTTTTCAAATGAAGGTGCGTGGCGTTAGCCTCATTTGAAAAAAGTACGCACTCCGAAATTTTTTTTGGGTGCTTCCCAAAATTTTTTCGGGCTAATAACCCCTAAAATCTAGAAAAACGGGGCGTGCCGGCAGCCCCTGAAATAAAAAAAATTTTCACAAGGCTAATTCAAATTTTAAAATTTTTTAACAAGCGGATTCACACGGTTTCTTATATGGAAAGTTATGAGAAACCTTCTCTATATCATTGCCCAAGCCAGAGCTCATCTTATATATTAAGCTGAATATCTGCTTGTGTGTCTGCCTGTACGTTTGCTATAAAAAAATTTGATTCTGCACCGATCTAACAAACTTTGCACACATACATTTCGGGGCATCATAAGATGTCGTAGACTACTTTCTTTTCGTCATCGATTTCAATGAAATTTTGAAAGTTTAAGCTACGTGGCTGGGAGTTGGCGGCACAGGGCAGTGAGCATGCTGATTACAAAAGTTTAACAGAGCCGGGCGGCGCCGGATTTGCCAGCTAGTTCATTTATAAGTGGCTCAAAACTCGGCTCTAGATCTAGCCCGGATCTTGTGCCGTGACTGGGCTCGCAAAGAGTACGATTTGGCCACACTTCGGTTGTATTTGTTACCACAAGTAAAGCATAGGGGCTGCCGCCTGTGGTCCAGCTAAGGCATCAATGAAACCCACACAGAAGTCCTGCTACCCAGAGTTGTCTGAACATTGACTTTGAACAACCATTCTTTGCTAAATTCGCTGTATTCTATGGAGATACTAAAATCGGGGTATTTGAGGCCTCGTCTCAAAGTTTGCTTTTCTGCAAGCTCTCTCAAGGGAGATGCCCATGTCACAATATGTGGAATTTTAATAAGAAGCCTAGGGAGACGGAAAAACCCGACGTTTTCTCTGAATCACACCTTTAGAGGCACCGTCCACCCAAATTGGGGTTGGCGAGATTATGATACCTAGCAGATGCGGGACCCCAAACTGTATGACTGCCCAACTCGCGCTGCCTGAAGTTACTTCCAAACCGAGAAAACTGCTTCAGAAATCGCTTCAGGCCGCGTTCGCGACGCTGGCTCCTCCCCTTTCGGAGCGGGCGTAACGTTCGTCCCGCCCATACGTGCGCACCCAACCAATCACCGTACCGAAGAAATCGCTCTGCGGATTCTGAAAACGGGGGTTTTTCGTGGTTTTCGCGGATTTTCAACTTGATATTCGGAATCAGGGGTATGAGAAGGCCCTGGAACGGCAGAAACATGGACGTCGAAATTTTGAGTGGACGGTGCCTCTAAGGGGACGCTTTACAGATTTTTTTCACAAAGGAGTTACTTAGAGAAACTATAATACAACGTTGAAAACATTGAAAAATTTTCTGAGAAAGTTGAGCTATTTATTGATTATGTCAAAGGGCCAACCAGAGCATTTCCAACAAAGCTCCCATGTGTCTGGAAGTAATTTTATGCAAAAAATCTAAAACATCGTCACCGAATGATATTGCGAGTGCGGAGAATTTCCGCTGAAGTAAAACATACTTTGCGTAAACGAAACAAGAACAAGGATCACAGATCATCAGCTCGACCGAGTCAGCACAAGATAAATGGAACGCCGTGATTTTCGAACGAACTATCTCAAATCACTTACTATTAAAGGGGTGCAATATCAATTTTCGTGGATTTAAAACTCGAGCATACTAGCGTTTTCTGTATCACCAAGGCTAAGTGGATTTCATCAGGTTAAGATATGAAGGCTACAGCACCCTTAAATCACCTCGTACACGAAAAAAATCGGCTACTTGTCAAATTAAGCCATCGCCAACCACAGTTCTTCTTCTAGTGACTTCTTCTCCAGCAATTTCAGGCTCATCTTCTGATTCCGAGTCAGAAGCAAGACTGAAATACGAGCCTCTTCTTCGCATCTTCAACTCACGGTAAAGTAGAGGAGTTAAGCAAGCAGAAGTGCATATGATCTGAACATATGACACATTTATCCAGGAAGAAAATCTATATATAAGCGAAACACTTTTACCATGACTATAAAGCCGTAGAACACAGATTCCCATCCAAAAACGGCTTGAATGGAAGGTATCATCACCTGTCCGATCGCTGCTCCAAAGCTTCCAGTACCTAAAAATAATACTACGATAATTCGATGACGGTTTCAGAGGCAGTTAACAGCAAGTAGGTATTTCCTAAACAGTAGCTATGCATTCGCGACTCAGCAAAGTGTAAATTGACAAATCAGAAATTGGGACATTTGAATGAAAGTGAACCAAGAGCCGCAATGCGCAGCGTGTATTCTGTTACCCCAAAAAGAAGCGAAATACCCGCTGCCACTTCTGCTTGTTTTCCGATGTTTTTCTATGAACCTCAGGGTCGTGATAGGCATAAATTTGAACTTAAAACAGGGCAAGAATAAGCGTGAAACAATCTAAGAAAAAGAATACTCAGACTGGCCACCCAATGCTGCAATTATGGCAAAAACTAACCATCCACGATTCCCGTCACCGTCGACAACGCTTCAGCATTACCTCGAAGCTCACGTGCTCTACCTTAATATATGCATATGGAAGATACATCAGCGCGGAGAGTCTAAAATTAGCTCACCTAAATCGGCAGCAACTGAGCTGGATATCATATTAGCTGGACCCCCTATGAAAAAACCAGCGACGGTGAGCAAGACTGCATTGATAACCATTGACGCGGGAGATGCTGGAAGCGTATGTAGATGCTGGACAGTATAGTACGAGCTGAAGACATACCTGAGTATGCCCATAATGAGAAAATAGCGCAAACTAACATTGCGACAACAATGGGAGTACGAGAAGCGAAGTGATCCTGAAAAGAAACACTATCCACTACGACCCATACAGACTTCTTCCAAGAATTCTGACTGACAGAGATAGCACCAGCAATGATAGCAGCTACTATGCCACCAACGTCGTACCACGCCGACAGGGCGTCCGCATCAGACTCGCTCCAGCCGAAGTTTGAATGCAAATAGTAAGGAAGCCAGAAGAAGAAGCCGTAATTGACTAGTTTGAGGCATGCGAAGGCAAGCGAATACTGAAAAAGGTGGAATGAGTCACTCGCAGGCCATTAGGATAAGCGCTGATGACCAAGGAAAAGTTTTTACAGATTCGATGTTTGAAGGCAGTAGCTCGGCAAATCTCAACCTAGTGAAATTTTCGCTTACCTGGGGTTACTGAATACGCTGATCCCGAAAATGCATCTTTGGGAGCTTGAAAACGGCGTAAATGAGCGTTTTTCAATGCCCTTCTTTTGAAAAGTGGACGAGTGGAGCAAGGCTGATGACGCTGAATCGTTGCAGGACCCAATGGTTATAGCATTGCGGCGGGCAGCCTCCAATGGTGAGAAGGAATTTGTCAGCTCGTCCGAATGCGTGTAAGATTAGTCTGCGCGTGTGAGTTTGAGAGCAATTTTTTCGGCAGGGAAGGCATGCTGTGCAACCGGGATTGCACTGTTTTCAAACTTGGGCGATAAGGAACCCACCACGTTGAAATCCTGAGTTATTGAGTTTTGCCGACCCACTGCCTTTAACAAATTGTGGGCTAAGCGCTCAAAATACCTCGCAGATATGATGAGAAACAGGAAAATGGTTTTTATAACAGAACACAGATAATGACAAAAATGCGAGGACGAGATACAACACTAGAGAGAACCAACCGAAAGAACGCCAGGCAAAGCCCATGCCCTCCAAAAACTGATAGGCACAGGCCGTTGAGTCGGCTCTTCTATGACTCGATTCAGTTCATCTGGCGACTCGACAGGATCAGGAAGACCTAAAGCTACGATCCTGTCTGCAATTTTGTTTGCATCAACTGAACTCACCAATGTCTCTTGGAGCTGACTTGAGGTTGGAAAACACGATAAAACCAAACACGAACAGCAACAGTGAGTTTACAGCAAAAGCGTACTGTAATGGGTTGCATTACGGAACGGAACATAGACATATGAGAAATGTACCTGATAACCCATCAGTACTAATCTTGAAGAAATCATCGTGCCAATAATATTGCCCACGCTTGCACAGGCAGACCACAAGCCCATCACAGCCCCTCGAGAATTGTGTCCAAACCAGTTGCCGACAATACATATCTAGAGAGGGGTTCAAAAGAGTAAGGTAGCTCGAAAAAAGAAGAGTCACCTCGGTAGGCCATGCGACAGACTGGAACAGACCCCCAGAAATCCAAAGACAAGCATATAATAGTTGAGAATATAGATGGAAGTATTCTGTGACGTAACCAAAGAAAAAAGCCTTCAAAGAATTAGGAATGATTCGAAATCTCAATATGCTGCTATTGATCGCACTTAGACAAAAACTTACCACTATTGCCGACAGCCACATCCCTATGCATAGAACGATACGTGGATCGTAGCGATCACCAAGCACACCACCTCCAAAGAGACCCTTCAACCAAAAATTCAGAATCTCTTTTGATGGCCATGATTAAGTCTGGATGAGATGCCATTAACCAGATTGTCTATTACTATATTTTCAAGTGGATAGTGGAAACTCACTATGGAATAAGCCAAAAGGAATCCGCCATCAAGCTTTGCGAGAAACTCAGAGGCCGCTTGATCGGAAGGAAATAGCGGAGGACTGCAAAAATTGTGTGAACTCAGCAATCGAATACAATCAACAACACTGTGTGAAAAAAAATGCATCAAAAATGATTGTGAGAAAACTGCATCAAAATGCACTAGGGTTCAAAAAGGAATGTAAAAGCACTCCGATATGATAATTCCGCACCGTGTTTCTGTTCCTTGAGTCCATGTAGCTATCAAGGATGGTTTCACGGTGGACAATGTCTTTCGAGTGGCATGAATGAAGGCGAAGCTAAAAGGGATATTTGATCCAACACAATCGCAAATAGAACTTCAGTATTTGGACGAATGTGGTCAGCAAAAGCTTCAACCGTAGGTTCAACAGACGAGCAAGCAAGGAAAAATACCAAGTGTTTCTCACTAAATTATGCGGCAAAAATATAAGCGTACCGTTTCTAGCCCACAGCCAGAAAAAACTAATCAATAAATACTAAAAACGAACTTTTATAAGTAAATCATGCAGAGCACTTAGAATAAGAAAGATACCTGAAGAACGTCAGCACGAAGACTTGCAGATGATGGACGGTCCATGCTTCCCCACCTGTAATTAGACGCACCAGTCGAGCATGTAGAGGAACCCCGGTAAGGGTCTCTGCACTTCGAAGGCGCACTCGAGGCATCTATCCTGATGGAAAACGATCTGACAGTGCATCAATAAAACGCATGACATGGGAAAAGCAGCGGGAACAGCTGATTAGTCAGCGCCATTTCTGCACGTCGCCAAGCGTGATTCGTCGTAATTGCGGCCCCATCGAGTTACAGTGGAGAGATAATATCCTCAACGGCAACTTGAGATTGGTACATATAACAATTCATACATACATACAACTGTTCTGCATGTCAAACATGTACAAAACAATCAATATGCTTTCATAATTGTTAGGATCACATTGAAGGGGGCGTCCGGATAAGGTGGGGTTTCGGGATTTCAGTGTCATGCAAAAGTGTGTTCCCTCGGACATGCCATGGCGCGAGTGCGTGCCCATGACGTATTATCACAAGCATGAAGTATGGTTGGAATGGGAGGACGCGCAGGAGTAACCAAAGGCCCAGCTGTTTGTATCCGCAGATTGAGAGCGCGAGCAATGTGGAGAAGATTTGACAAAGATCCAGGAGAACTTGGCCGTTAAACCCAGAGAAAGTCCTAAGAAAGTAATTCCTCGTAACTTTGCTTGAGGAAGTGTTCAATGGATAAGTGAGGCAATTTTGAAATCGGCGTTTCATGGCGCATTTATAGGAGATAAATCATTGCTAAATATTGTAAATGCGATCAAGAAGATTATATTTCAATCTCCTAAGAACTTTGCCAGAAAACTTACTTGGAAGAAACGATGCTCAAGTTTTAGAATGTCGACCAAGAGTTCTTGAATGTTTGAAAACCTATTTTGGTTAACTTTTGGATATCAATAGAATCAAGTCGCCGCATCGTCGCGCAACCAGAGAGCTATGGTAGCATATCACTTTGGAAGCTAATTAAGATTATTTTGCACTTCTCTCAAGACCCAAATAATTTTCCAAACTGGGACATGCAAAAGTAAATCGCACCAACAAAAAGATTCCTCATGTTCTACGTACATACATAGATGCAGCGTGAAAATCAAAAGGTTTATGTTTAACAAATCTTGTTCAAATTTCAAACGTCAAGCACATCGTTTGAAAATCTCGGCAGATTTGCTCGTAAGAAAACCTTACACTGTTGTAAAAAAAAACCCGAATATCATCTCAATTTTTGCCTTACCACTTAAGTAGAAGCACAATTTCAACAACTGAAGCTAGAACGTATTCCCGTAAGTATCAGATTGAATCTCAATTTATGGGACTATTTCCAATATTTTAGATCCGAATTCTCCAGCAACTGTAACAAACATTTTTCGCTTTCCCAATAGCCGCATTCCAGCTTTTCAGTTGCAGGCTCTAATCTGCCTTCCAAATTTCCAACGATTTTCCAAATAAAAGAATTTTTTTCCGTTCTGAAACTATAAGTTTTGAATTTTGTTCATATTCTTATATTAGTGAAGGTCTTGAAAAGCGGAATCCAAAACTGTTTCCATTATTTTTCGAACATTTTCTTAGACAAAGTTATGGAATTTGTTATCGTAATTTTTCTAGATGTTTCTTTGCCAAATAGTTCTGGATCATTGCCAAATCTTCTCCGCAGTGCTCGCGCTCTTGATTATCTCCTGCGGATATGGCGGCAAGACCCTTTGCTCCTCCTACTACGCCGCCGCTGGAAGGCTGGGAAACTAACGCCCTAGAGCAGGGCTTTCCACCTGTTTGAACTCATTTCTGCGCCAGAGAACGCATGACGCCGCAGTTAAAGTCGTAGGTCAACGATTTTGCGTCTTATCCTTGGCGAAAACCGTTCCATTTCAAGTTGTATTTTTGACTTTGAAAAACGCACTTGCGGTAAGACTTTATCTTTGGTATGCCTTATATTTGCTATACCACCGCTTAGTTGAACATAAATGAGTCATAGACTGGAACAAAACGTCTCACTTTTCGTGTAAAAGTACCTTTTTAGCCGCCTCCCTTCGAACCGGATAACATCGACTCCGCCTTTGTGGACGAGCCCTCTCAAGGTCTGTTTCATTTCCTTTCTTTGTACAAAAGCAATTGGAAACGCTTTTTACATGCTTATACTCCCTTACCTCACACTATCGGACGAGATTAATGTAAAAGTTCTATTATATAAGGAACCTAGCGTAATCAAGACTCTTAATAGTCAGTTTTCAGCCGATCACAAGATTGTTCTATGATTGCTCTGTTTCCGTAGACGTGCACGGTGTGATTTTAGAGGTATGGAAGAGCAATCCGACACCATCGCCGTCACCGACTCTTCCTTCGTCACCACCTCCGCGTACACCCACGCCCGAACCAGAACCAGAGCCTGAACCCGAGCCTGAACCTGAACCTGAACCGGAGCCTGAGCCTAAAGAGCCAACCCCTCCACCCACACCTCCACCTTCACCTTCACCCACTCCTTCATTAGGTAACTGCACCAAATAAGCTGCCCAGAACACAGAAAAGGAATTTTCAAATGAGTTCAAGAGGCGGCACAAACAATGTTCAGAGCCGGTGAAGGAACCCACACCTGAACTTGAGATATCGCCTGAACCAAGTCCAGTGCCTACCCCTGAACCTCCACGTGAACCTACACCAGAACCAGAGCCTGAACCAGAGCCAGAACCAGTGCCTGAACCAGGGCCAGAACCTGAACCACTGCTAGAACCAGAACCTGAACCAGAACCAGAACCATTGCCAGTAAGTTGCTAGCTTACAGCACTACTCAAAGTGACATTGTTAATGGCTAAACCATGATTTTCAGGAACCCTCTCCGAGACGTAAGTTTACTGATTATTAATGCGTGAGCAATAATCTTTCAAAGCCGAGTTACTCTTTTAAGCTCGAGAGCTTACTGCAGACGAAATTGCTGCACAGAGACGACGGGAGTACAGCGAAATGGCTAAGCGAAGATACGAAGAGTATCAGAAGGTTTGTAAGATGTGAATATTTGGTGAGATACCGTATCCTACTACTCAATGGAAGAAATTCCGGCAACGAACGCATCGGCCGGGTATGCCGGAACATCGACCAGGTTCAGCGGTGCCATCATCTCGAAGAAGTTCAGGGGCACCATCATCATCATCTAGGTAGGCGAGCGTCAAACGTGCCGTCATCCGGAAGAAGTTCGGCGGCACATTCCTCGAAAAACTCCACTCAACCAGGAACTCCTGAAAGCTCATCTTAATCTGTATTATACGAATTATTGTTCATATTGTTGTATACTTTGTTTATAATTATAAATTGCTGACATGATCCGCACAAAATTCTCTGTTCTGAATGGGTGATTTGCGCTAACTTAGAAGATTTGAGTGCGAAAAGTTGTTGAGCCGAAGCAGGTCGCATTCATGTACACATTTGCATAACATAATCGTGACAAAAGACACATTTATCAGTACAATACCGCTCACATTTTTTGAAAAATAGACGCGAATGTATGGACATGTATGGACATGTACGGACATGTCCATACATGTATGGACATGTCCGTACATGTCCATACATCTGTAAACGGGACGAATTCTGAATCCAAAGCCACCATTCGCTTCAGCTCGGCGCGGAGAATCTTCTGATGTATTGGAAGTGGGGGTACAATGTCTTCGATATTCCGTTTCCAGTTTTTTCAATTTGTTCTGCGGAGGTCCTTTCGCGAATATGTGAAGCAACGCCTACCCAACTTAGAAGACTTTGCTAAGTACTATTCGATAATACTGTTCTTGTAGATTATTGTGCGCTAAAAAGAGGCTCAGATTTCTTTCCAAAGGAGATAGAAGCGTTGGTGAATTTTGGAAAAATCACGCTTTTCAAATTCTACTCGCTATAACTTCCTTCGAAATAAGTATATTTTGAATCCTAAGCAGCGCCTTGCTCAGCTTGTCAAGGCGAATCTTCCTATATACAGTATGTCCTTGATATTTCGATTTCAGTATTCTTGAATCTTTCTGAGGACGTCTTTTCGCGAAGGTGTAAAGCAGCGCGCATTGTTCCGAGTACATCCCAGTAAGGATCTTTCAATAGCACTTTTTCTGTAGATTATGATGTGCTAAACAGTAGCTACAGATTTCTTTTGAAAGGAAATCAGCAGGTCGGATAACCTCTATGAGCACGTTTTCCGATATGTTCGGATTATTTCATTTTTTTCTCGTTTCACGCTCCGGAAGCTTGCCGATGGATTTTGGTGGAAATGTTGATGCTCTTGAATTGTAAAGGAACTTCGCTTATGGAGGTTTTCGAACACGCTCTTTACGAAAATCGTGGTCTTTGAAGATTACAGGGTCTTTTTGGAGAGATACGGTGAGGTGACTGTAATTGCATCACGAAAGTGCGTAACTTTGGCCGCACTTCTCGCGTATGTCAGAAACCTTGCCTGCTTGCTTTTTTCAGTCAAAGTTACTAGGAATTGTGCCATAGAATGGTGCATGATTCAGCCGATATGTTCGGGTTATTTCATTTTTTTCTCGTTTCACGCTCCGGAAGCTTGCCGATGGATTTTGGTCAAAATGTTGATGCTCTTGAATCGTAAAGAAACTTCGCTTATAGAGGTTTTCAACACGCTCTTCACGAAAATCGTGGTCTTTGAGGATTACAGGGTCTTTTTGGAGAGATACGGTGAGGTGACTGTAAATGCATCACGAAAGTCCGTAACTTTGACCGCACTTCTCGCGTATCTGCCAGGAACCTTGCCTGCTTGCTTTTCTCAATCAAAGTTATTAGGAATTGTGCTATCGAATGGTGCATGATTCAGGCTCCAGTCTGTGAAATTTGCCGGTTACGAGCTTACGAAAACACGTCCTCGTGAATTTTGCCCAAAATGTTAAGATCGCATATTTCGTCGAAATTTTTCCGTGAGCGCTTGTACAAGGCGCTGATCAAATCCTTCCACATTTTTAATGTATCTTATTGTGTCAGATTTGGTGCTTTGAACTTTAGCCACGAAATAGCTTTGATATTCAATTGAGCAGCTGAAGCAGACGCAAGCACCATATTCAATACAGTGGGAGTGGTTGGACAAAGCGAACATAATATCTGCAACGAGCATCATACAAGCGCTCACGGAGGAATTTCGACGAAATATGCGATCTTAACATTTTGGGCAAAATTCACGAGGACGTGTTTTCGTAAGCTCGTAACCGGCAAATTTCACAGACTGGAGCCTGAATCATGCACCATTAAGATCCTTACTGGGATGTACTCGGAACAATGCGCGCTGCTTTACACCTTCGCGAAAAGACGTCCTCAGAAAGATTCAAGAATACTGAAATCGAAATATCAAGGACATACTGTATATAGGAAGATTCGCCTTGACAAGCTGAGCAAGGCGCTGCTTAGGATTCAAAATATACTTATTTCGAAGGAAGTTATAGCGAGTAGAATTTGAAAAGCGTGATTTTTCCAAAATTCACCAACGCTTCTATCTCCTTTGGAAAGAAATCTGAGCCTCTTTTTAGCGCACAATAATCTACAAGAACAGTATTATCGAATAGTACTTAGCAAAGTCTTCTAAGTTGGGTAGGCGTTGCTTCACATATTCGCGAAAGGACCTCCGCAGAACAAATTGAAAAAACTGGAAACGGAATATCGAAGACATTGTACCCCCACTTCCAATATATCAGAAGATTCTCCGCGCCGAGCTGAATCGAATGGTGGCTTTGGATTCAGAATTCGTCCCGTCTACAGATGTATGGACATGTACGGACATGTGCGGACATGTCCATACATGTCCATACATTCGCGTCTATTTTTCAAAAAATGTGAGCGGTATTGTAATGCTGGTGTATTGCATTGCCTTATGTCGGTTTCGGCAAGTGACTGAGCTGCCAAATTCAATACTGAGAAGCGAATCAATCCCTTCTTTCATCCTTAATTGGGAGGAGTTCTGTGTGAACAAAATCAAGATTGTGATTGTTGAGTTCATTATTTTACTGTGTTTGAATTCTCAACAAGACGACTACAATATTTCAACCATTGAAGATTTGCATATTAGTTCGCAATGACTCAGTAACATCAATATTCTTGATTCTCAGAATTTTCGGTCCCGTAATGTTTTATCCGCAGAGTCTAACATACAACTGCCATGTCTGGCCTAACAAATTGCCAAGCATGTCTGTTCCAAAATTAATGCCCCTCAATTTTCGGTTTGTTGCTGTTCTGTTTTGGAGCAGGACATTAGAGTATGAAGTCACTGTTTAACTAATAAATTTACAAAACATCTTTCCAGTTGAATCTTCAAATTCTATCAGAGTCTCACAAAAATAATACCATGTCTTAAGGTACAACGTTACGTAAACACTAAGTTTTTTAAGTGGCAAATGAAAGGGGCAAAGCAAGCTGTGCAAGATGGCTCCCAGAGAATGATTGGCTAACGAATTCTGAGGCCAAAGAATGAACATTCAACTGCACAGAAAGACTGAAAACTCAAGCGTTCAGCTTTGGGCTTATCGGTTTCAAGAATTTGGCACTTGGAGTGTCGGGTGCAACCATGTTAATTGAAACATTTTTAGAAAACTAATGCTTAGCTAGAATACAAAAAATATGGAATTGTAAATCAACTTCACCCTGCGCTATTTCTCAGAAGAATACAACAAAACTGCAGCATTGCTAAGATAGGTTAGTAACAGTAGCCGGCAACTGAAACCGCAGACTTTTCTGGGAGATATTTAAGGAAAGAGGGAAGGCTCCATCGAATGCTTGTCGCGTAAGCTGCGTTTGAAAGGTACTGCACTGGCTTACAAATTCTGCAGATACTGCGTTGTATCAAGAAGGCAAACACAGAATTTTGGCGGTTAGCGTGAAAATGCTTCCCTGCGAGGATGTTTTTCCTTGTGGACACGAGGTATCGTCAGCATCACTGGAGTCGAATAGACTTATGCCTCTCTTACGGGTGCAATACGATTCATTTCATATCACCGCACAACATCGCCGATCAAAAAATGATGCAATACATCGTTATTCAGTACGTTCACATACAAGAGTACTGGTCATCTTCATCATTACAAAGTTCATCAAAATCTGCTACCAAACGCAGGAATTGCACTGCGGGTTATTGGTTTTTGCGAATATCCTTCACTCGCATCCACGGCATTGCTTTTTAGGTCGAGCATGTGATGCGAAATCCATCTAGAGTACGGACGCACGAAATAGAGAGATACAAGAGGGGTAAGCATTGGAATCAGTGTCAAAACCATGAATACACAGTATTCCAGAAAGGGATGGTGACATATATTTAAGGCTCCCAAAGCATATGATATGACTGCTATAAGGAAGAACATAGGTAGAAGAGCTTGATATATGAGGACCTGAAACGAGGAAAGTCGTGGTTGGGGTGTTTAAAGGACAAAATTGTCATCAGTTACAGTTACACTGACAATGAATTCAGTACCGATGGCGTAATATTATTCGGGTAAAGCACACGTGATGTCTTCAAAAGGCTATCTAACCAAGATTAGACAGATCCACCGAATGAGGTTTACTTATTTGATCATTCATAGATCCAGCAAGCGTAATAAACTAAAATTGCACCTAAGGCGCAAAGTTCAGTAGAAGCAACAGTGATAGGCTCGCGCATGCACACCTTATTCGATCATCTGTCTTCGTCTAGATTCAATTTTTACAGCAAATTTACCTTTAAAAGCTGCTTGTGTACAATCTTTGTTTGACGTGACATACTTTCCACTTCGTCCAAATGTTTTACAATCTTGGAGCTTATAACCACAATCGCAATATATATCGGTGTCACAGGCAACGTCACATGCAGGATCGTGTACATCAAACCCCATTTCATTTCCTTTATACCATATAGAGCACCAGTATGATTATCGTACTGTGGATAATACGCGTGCAGGACCTCCTTCATTTCCATAGCAAAATCGCTTGACGTGCCCAAGGCTATCTGAGGTCAGAATTATGATTAAACAAGACCAGTTTTTTTTCTCCTAGACGATTTTATGCACATTTGATAGACTTCTTAACATAATGAGTAGCGCACCATTTGAACGAACGATGGCAGGTAGCAGATAAGGATAAAAATACGTATAGTCGTTTGTTTCGGGATAGGATTGTGCAAGATATACAGTCTATATGAGAACGATAGAAGAGCACTCCAAAGTGAATGACTGAAGCAGTGTAGCATGACGTTGTGGCTAAAAACAATGAACTTAATCCAAAATATGATTTCTTTCTAGCTTATCTACGTGCGGCGGCGGCACTATATTCTTGCAATACAGACTAATTTCGTTGAAGAAATGCACATCAACATTTTTACATTTTCACAAGATTGCATGCACGTAAGCGTTAGCAAGACCCTAACATACCTTTGAAAGCAAAATTCGGAACTGATAAATTGGCAGGGTCCATTACCTATGAATATTAGACTTTGCGAAGCTGGTATTATGCTATAAAATTGTGCAAAGTATACGATTTTTTGAAAATGAAAGACCCGTAACACTCACCGATCTTGCGTTAAGAACACAAATATGCAGCATATAAGATCACATAGAGTCAAGTTAAAAATTAAATTTGAATAGGTTTTCAGATAGCTCGGAGTATGACATAAAACTAAATAGAGGAGAATGCTGTTGAATAAAATACCGCATAAGCTCGTCATTGAATAGATTAGAACGCTTACTTTAGTGTCAATCTCCATGCTCCCTAAAAAAGATTATAGGAAGAAGTTGGACATTTCAAAGCTGCAGTGGATTTATGGCTGACTGCTATGATGTATAGAAATATGAGTTTGACTATCTGCATCATTATGCGGGAATAACGCTGATGAAGTTATCAGGATGATTGGAGTCAGTTGTTGTGTTCGACGCCTGTTTTCTAATGCTCCTTCCAGAGTGCCGGAGCTATGCCCAGCGCTGGGCCGACGCAGAGCCAGCGCCGACCTAGCGCCGCGCAGGCAGCGTTGTTGATAATCCCGACGCGATTTTTGATTAATGCAGGGTGCGTTCACTCGGGTAGGGACGCCAGAACCTTAGGTTTTCGTTGCTTTTCATGCCTTTTCCTCCTCTCCGCGTTCTCTTTCGTCTTTTTTATCTCTCTATTATTTCCTAATGTTGCTTATGTTTCAGGAAACGGTCTCTTTTAAGTGCTTTTTCGAAGGGGTAACTCCAGACGCTTTTACGCGACGCTTGCAGTTGTAAAGATAAATTTCTCTCTATTTGAAGGAAATTAGTGGTGATTTCTCGGAATTCCAATACCTACTTTCAGGCTCATCCACACAGTTCCTTGAACTACCGGCCACTTAGTGGCATCTGAACAATCTCAGTTATTTCAGAAGAAGCAAATTACGAGAGAAAACGTCGGTGCTATTCGCATCATAGATGCCCAGCATGCTTTCGTTTCTAGCAAGGGAAGGATATTGGATTAGATTCGATTTTTAGAAGGGACACATATATCTAGACTCAGCTTTAAACGCTGATTCCGTACATGCTGCTTCTAGCTGCTTAGCGTTATTTCGATGCAAGTTATGGGCTTGCTGTTGCGAGTAAATAATAAAACTCTGAATGTCGTAAGACGGCGTATAGATAAGAATCTGTTTGAAAAAGTGCTAGATTATTGAACTAGCATCAGATTAATCCTTACGATCTTAAAAGGGGCATTATACAATTGCAAAATCACCTAGACCTCGACACCGTAGCATTATTGGGTCGAGTATGCAAAGTTTGCGTAGAAAAGAGAACATAATTCGTCTCGGAATAACGCTAAGCAGCTAGGAACAACATATTTGGAATCAGCGTTTCAAGTTGATTCCAAATGCATGTGCCTCACATCAAAAGGCGAATCTAAATTAGTATCCTTCCCTTTTAAGTTCAGTTCTTATTATCTGTCGATACTATACTGATACTGTCGACGGAGAACTCAGCTAAAGCGTTTTTAAACAAAACTGATTGGATCTTTTCATATAACATTGCTGTTGATATAGATTTTCAAAATTCTCCTTTAAAAGTCCTGACTAAGCTTCGTTCTCAATGTGCTGCCTTTAAGCACTGCTCATGATAGGTTCCGAAGCAGATTTTTGATCTGATATTCATCCCATCGTCACCTGTCAGCAACATAGTAACTCATCAGTCTTTTTTATTGTGAAAAAGCAAAAGACATAACATCAAAAAATTGGCCATCAGCGTTACCCTTGTAAGAAATGCTTTCGAGCCTAACGACAGCCAAGTCCCTACTGGCAAACAAAATAAAAGCAATTGATAACCAACTTATAAGAACGCGTCTCCGTTATCAGATGCATTTGAAAAGCCTCTATTCTTATGGTTTTGCCTTAATTTTTTCTCAAGCGAAAATCTCGAGCGTCAGGAAATTGTGTGATTGGATCTCAAAAGCTTTTTATGATTAGAAACGATTAGAAGCTTTATCTTGAGTAATAGTGAGATCGCCAAAACATGATGGGCGAACATCGAAACGACAAGATTATATTCCCCTGTAAGAGAAACCGACGTTAGAATCGCGCCCAGCTCCATTTATTCAAAATTCAAACACCTATACATTTAAAGTCTTCATATGTATAGGTTGGTAACCAACTCATCAGCAGAAAAGGAGCAACCGATGAAAGTTTGCCATTTTTTACATGACAAAAGTTTTGAGACCATTCTAGGCAAAAAACACTGGAAATTCTGATGAGATGATTTAGAAAGAAAGATGCCAATGTAATAAGCAGTAAAAGAGGAGATCCCTCCTGTACAACTGCAGGAGTCGCGCACAAGCGTTTGGTACAACTTGCTTCCAAAAAACACGGATGAGAAAGCGTTTCCTGAAAAAAAAAACAACGTTAGGCAACAACAGAGCAAGGAAAAAGTCACAGAGAAGGAAAGGAGAAAACGCACGGAAAAGGGGAAAGGAGACAAAAACGCGAAGTTCTGACTTTCTCGGCCGGATGCGCGCACCCTGCATTGTTCGACAATCGCGTCAGGACCATCAGCAACGCTGTGCCGGCGCGGCGCTAGCTCAGCGCGCTGAATCCTGAAGGGTCAGAATCCGCTACCGACTAACCAGACTTCGAGGGCGGCAGTGCAAAAGAGGATAAAGCATACCATGTTAGCTGTTGCTGCTGTATAGTAACACTATTTCGTCCTTTATCCTAAGCCTAATGCAGAGGAATTCGCTAGTGATAAGAGATCAAAACAGAGTAAGGTAGGTGCATTTTGGTAGACATACTCGACCAACACTTAAGGAAAATCCCATTTATTATCAGGAGGCCTTAGGAATTCAAAGATGTCACAGTTTGTTGCAGTGCTCAAAATGACGCAGCATAATTTATTATCATTTAATTCGCCACCATCGTAGATTTCACTCTCGAGTGGTCCGCACTGGAACTGGTATTAGAACAAATGGTTGGTCCATACGTACTTAGGTTTCCATTCCAATTACATTCAGCCTCCATCTCTTCCGTTTTTAACCAACGTATCAAATATGAGTACGCGATCAAAGCTCTAAACAAAGCAGTCCAGTGTAGATGTAGGACTTTACTTTACTAGGTATTTCGCCTAAAAACTCCACCAATTGCAGAAGAAGTGACAAAATGTTAGTTCTTATGAGAAAAGCATAGTCTATTTTGGAAATTAAAACTATCACAGTGCTCTGTTCTCTAGCCGTGCTCACTTTTCCAATCATCTGACATGAATTCTTAGACTTTTATTTTTGATAGGCAGAATGCGAGTTTTGAGATTTTTTTTGCAGAATATATTTCGAAGTTAACACAAACACTTTGGGAAATTATGACGGTTCAAAGTTTTTGAGTCATTCCGGTCATTTCAGTTTTGCGGTAGATACCAGTGGCGGTCTCAGGATTTTCGTCCGGAAAGGGAGAGTGGGGGGGGGGGGGATTTTTTCAAATGAAGGTGGCTGGGTTAGCCACCACTCCAAAAATTTTTTCAAAAAATTGCTTTAGTTATCTATCACAACTCATTGCACTTTCATTTTTATAACCCATGTAAGTAAAGTAATGTGAGCCAAGAAAATGACAACGAGAAAATGGGTTTACGCATTATTGCTAGCGATAAAATTTGCACAAACCAGTAGGCTGAAAAGCTTGCCTTATTTTACGGACAGTTCCCATTGAAGACGTCCACAAATGGAGGCCATTGGCATAAGCTAACAAGCGCGCAAAAAATCAACTTTTGTTTATTGGAAGTTTTCGCTTTGGAATGAACAGTTAGAGTTGAAAAATTAATGTGCTCTAAAAAGAACATGTGGGCTACAACGGTCCTCACCTGCTTTGATCCCAGGCAAAATATATAAGCGTGT